GTATGTATATAGGAATATGTATGTGCATATATTTTCTGAACTTAATAAAATACCAAATAAAATGAGCATTTTAATATACAAAGTAGAACAGAAAAAGAAAACTGAGCACAAAACCCACAAATCTCTATGCTATAACTGCATTTTCTTTACTTTTCATAATGAACCTACTTTTTAAACCTTTTTATTCCTCCTAAAACCTTTCACGGCCAGGCCATACACCAAGAGCTCCCTCTTCTCCCTCCTCCTCATCTTATATCACTCAAATATATCCCACCTCTGTCCCCTACTTTACCCCTGTCTCACATGAAAAGGTGGCCTTTTTCCTTGCCAAGGCTAACCTTTCTACATGCATTCACGACCCCATTCCACTTTATTTTCTCTAGCAAATTACCTCCTCTATTATCTCCACTCTCTGACTTATCTTCAACTTCTCCCTGCCTAAAAGCTGCTTCCCTAGTTCCTACAAATACCCATCCTCAGCCCTCACTTGATCCTCATTAGCTTATCTCTTTCCTCTTTCATGGCTAAACTCCTTGAGAATGCTGTCTGAAATCACTGCTTTAATTTCCTTTCTTTGCATCCTCTTCTTAATTCTGCAATTTGGCTTTCAACCTCATCAATCAATGTGAAACTTCTATCTTCAAGGTTATCAACAGATCCCTTAATTGTCCAATCTGAGAACCTTTTTCATTGCTCATCTTTCTTACTTTCTTTGCAACCTTTGACCTTGCTGATTCCTTTCTTCTGGGCACTTTCTGGTTTCTAGGTTTTTTTGTACCACTGCTCTTTCCTGGTTCTCCTCTTCCCTGTCTAGCCACTCCTTTGCTGGCTCTTCTTCCTGGTGATGCCCACTAACTGTGGATGTTCCACAAGAGTCTTTCCTTGGCCCTCTTCTCTTACTCCTCTATACTAAGGGTTGGTTTTTTAACCTGGGAACTGTGACTTGTTTTAAAAAATATTCTGATGGGGAATTGATTTCCTTTGTAATTGTATTTTATTTTATGTATTTAAAAACATCATTCTGAAAAGGGGTCCTTGGGCTTCACCAGACTGCTAAAGAGGTCCATGATGCAAAAAAAGTCAAGAATACTCTCTTCATACAAAGGTGTCAAACATAAGGCCCAATGCAGCCCACAACATTCCCAGTGTGACCCAAACAAGATTAAAATGTAATTGGGAAATATTTAACAAAACAAATGACAACACAATAAAACAAAGGATGTTAATGTTAATGTTCATGGTTTTCTAAGTCAATATTCAGTCTTCAGGGATCTTTATGTATGGTTTAGTGGCTCTTATTTCTATTTTGAATTTGCTACTACTGCTCTATATTATTCTGCTTGGTAATCTCATCAGTTCCCATGGGTCCAATTTTTATTTCTATACAGATGATTTTTATATCTATTTATGTAGTCTTAATCTCTTTCCTGAACTTCTTTCTCATATCACCAGCTGCCTATTGAATGGATATCTCAAAATGGATGTCCTGCAGATATGTCAAAGTCAACATCTTCCCCACCTCCATCCCCACCCACCTCTCTTCCAAATTCCCTTATTATGTCAAGGGTACCACCATCCTCCCAGACACTCATGCTCACAACACCAGTGTGAACCACAACTTCTCACTCACATCTACTCCATATATCCAGTTTATTGCCAAATCATGTAATTTCTTTCTTTACAACATCTCTTGTATAAATCCCATTTTCTCCACTCATGTAGCCTCTGCCCTGGTGCAGGCCCTCATTATTTCACTTCTATACTAATTTAATAGCCTTCTGATTGGTTCCCTTGACTCAGGCCTCTCCCCACTCCCATCCACCTTCACTCAGCTATGAAAGTGATCATGTTGAAGTGCAGGTCTCACCATATCATCCTTCTATTCAATAAACTCCAATGCCTCCCTTTAACTCCAAGATCAAACATAAAATCCTGTTTATTTTTAAAAGCCCTTTACAACCTAGCCCCTTCCTACATTTCTAGTCATCTTACATTTTACTATTTCCACATACTTTAAAACACAGGGATATAGGTCTTCTTTGTATTCTTCATACAGAATATTCCATCTCCCAAATCTGTGGCTTTTCATCAACTGTCTTCTCTATATAGAAGATGCTCTATCATTATCCCTATCTCCTAACTTCCTCTAAGACTCAACTCAAATCCTACATTTTATAAGAAGACTTTCCCAGTTGCCCTCATGGTCCACCTTAAGGCATATCTCCTCACTCCTAGAGTGCCTTTCATCTGCAAATATCTTCCATTTACACTGTATGTGCTTTATACCTATTTGGTTGTTTGCATGTTTTCTCCCCCATTAGAATGTAAAATCCTTGAGGGCAGGAATTGTGTTTTTGCCTTTATTATATCCCCAGTACTTACTACATTGCCTGGAACATAGTAAGCATTTAACAAATGTTTATTGACTAACTGACTTTCTGTTTCATAAATCATTTCTTTTACTCATTGAATTTTCAAGTTGAAAAAGACCTCAGAAGTCATCCAATAAGAATCCTTTCAAAATCATCCCTGAAAGGCTATAAAACCTGATGCCTTTTCCCCAACCTAGAAAGGGCAGAGAATCATAGAATTTAGAGCTGAAAGAGACTTCAGAGAAAATTTAGTCCAGCTCCCTAATTTTATAGAGGAAGAAACTGAGGCCCAAGAATGATTTGCTCAAATTCACACAATTAATAAGTTAACAGAGTGAAAATTCAAACCCAGGTCCCATGACTACCAATTGAGTAGTTTTTCCATTGTACAACCCTATGATTTTTTTTCTTTTTCTTTTTTTTTCTCTACCTAGACCTATCATGTAATTGGTTCAGGGAGCTCTTGGTGAGGAGATGCCATTGATCAATGCAGTTGAGTAACTGTTCTGCAATTTGTAGTCTTAGAAAGTCAAGTGAGAGGTCAAATAACTTGTTCAGCGTCACACAATCTATCTGTATGTATACATATATGTATGTGTGTATACACACACACACACACAGATTTGAACCCAGGTCTTCCAAACTCTTGAGTCAATGCTCTATTCACTCTGCCACTCTGCCCCTTCTAGGATGTTCCATGGCTGGCAAACATATTGTGATTATAATTTCAGAAGGAAGAAAAAAAGTTTGCCATGAAGATTTCATTACAAAAAGCTGAAGTTTCATAGTTCTCAGTTCATCCATCCAATTTATCATCTAAACACAGCTAAACTCCTCTGTGGACACAATTCAATTTCTCCACAAGTATTAACTTATTTACTCTTGGACACCATATAGGCAGAAATAACTTCAGAGAAACCTCTGGTTAAAAAAAAAAAGCAAGCTAAATGATGGGTGGGCCCAATAGGTTCTGAGTTAAGGTGATTCTTTCTTAATAGCATTAAGAAGTGAAGAAGAAATTTAGCTACATTTTATAGAATATGAGAGATGGAAGAAGTCCTAGACTGCAATATACCCAACCCCTTTATTTTACAGAAAAGGAAACTGAGGATTATCAAACCTAAGTGGTTTGGCCAAAATTAACTTATCGAATTAATGACAGAGTCAGTGCTGCAACTTTGTTATGTTTGGCAAGTCACTTACCTTATCTGGGTCTCGGTTTTTTCATTAATGAGAAAATTGTACAGATCATTTCTAAGGTCTCAGCCCTAACATTCTATGATATTACAAACCTACCTCTCCTGACACCCAGGCTGCTGTTCTTTCAGGAAGCAATTCATATTTCTACTTCCATATGTCTAATTAATTTGATCCTCTTTGATGGAAAAATATAAAAAAGACTGCCCTTTCAACATTTTATGGTATGCCCCACGTCCAGAGAGAAATGGCATTTCTCAAGACAGAAAAATTCACAGAAGAAAAAACCTGTCCACACCTTCTCAGATTATATGTTATCCAGAAACCAACAATGGCAACATTATGTAGGAGAAAAAGCCCTGCAGTTGGCATCAGAAGATGTGGGTTTGAATTCTGGCTCAGCCATTTAACAGCTATAGGACCTTGGACAAATTCCTTAAGCTTTCTGAATCTCTCAGTCTATTCATCTATAAAATGGAGTTAATATTTTAACAACAAGGTTGTGATGAGTATAAAATAAATTAATTTCTTGGTGACTATAAGCTATATCAACCTAAGTCTTTTTTCTTATCATGGTATGAAGATAATCAGAGACACCTGAAAGCTGCACCAGAAATAGAGAGCTCTGCCAGGTTCTACTGGGCTGAAAGTATATTAAGTATAGACCTAGAGAAAGAATGTGTATCTGTTGTTTGAGGACCAGCTTAGCTAAGTTTATAGGGGTTCATCATCAGAAGTTGTCCCCTTTGTGATTTTTTTTCAGCCACAGCAACCCACGGAAATTGTCTACTAAGGCAAAGTAGTTGAAATCTACATCAGTGAAGTGCCTCCTCACACTGATGACATCACATATCCTTGAAGTATTCTTTCCACAACAAAATGGATCATCAGATTAGAAGTGACCTGAGAGATCACGTAATTCAATACCTTCCTTTTATGACAGGAAATAGAGGCCCAGCAAGCTAAGTAGCTTGCCCAGGGTCACAAAGATAGTAAGTGATTGGGGTTGTTTCTAATAAACCTTTTTGACACGTTGGCCAATTTACAACAAAGAAATAAGTTATAACCCAGAAAAGGAACTTTGGAGTTATGTCTAGGTGGTACAAAAAAATCCAGGTAAAGAAAAAAATTCATATGGATAAAACGCCCTAACATTCAACTGATTTTTTTTCACCTAGTTATTCTTTATTCACATTGACTCCACCCCAAACTGCCTGTTCTGATCAATAATTTGAGTTGTCTTAAAACTGATAAGAGAATTGTTCATATTTCACTATGGAAAATGGCTTGCCCTTAGTTTACTGGATTAGCAAAAATGGAAATTTTCCTCCCGGTAGTTAACATACATAAGAACATCAAGAGCGGTGTGCTCCTCCAGCCTCATTTTAAAAATCATTCTGGGACGCAGAAAAAATAGTGCTTGACTCATACCTGTATAGCAGTACAATCTTCCATCCTCACGTGAGGAATTTTTCCTTCTACAGAGCTGGAACGCATCCATTGCTGTTGTGAGAGTTTCCTACATGTCTCAATTGTGTCTGAGGTTCTTAAGGGCTTTTTGCCAAAAAGAAGAAATACAATTATATTACAAATGTAATATTCCCATTAATATAAAGCCAATACTTTAACTTAGATAACTACATATAATCTCTAATGTAGACCAAGGCATTTTTCAATGTAAATGGAAACAGAAATGCTTTTTCATTCAAATTAAAAAACCCTATATGACCAATCTTATGGCTTTTCTTGGCTTTTCATCTGGGGGTAGGCACCTAAGCCAGCAAGCACTCAATGGATTGTTTTGCTGCTGTTGCAAATGCCAACAGTTGGCACATCTCCACTGATACTTGGCCTATATTACAATATATTAGCATTTCTGTGCTCAGCCCAAGTGTAAACAGGAATAAGTCCAAACTTGCCCAATGGGGTGTCAAAAGGTTGGCTGTCACTGGTGAAAAGCAATCTTATTCAGAGACTACATGTGACATTACATCTAGACAACCAGAATTATTCTGAAGTAATAAAAATACCTTCAACCTATATCTGAACTTTAATCAGCATCAGCTGGTAAAAGTGCTTTGAAATTCAGATTTAATTTAAGCTAAAATCTAAGCTTCTTTCTCACAAGTGAGGAAATCTGGATTGACAGTACTTGCATAAGCAAGTGTGAGGGTACACATTGGGGCCATTTGATAGAGCTGAGCTCCAGAAACTCCATCTGCTGGGTTAGAGAGGGAAGATAATTTAGGTGGGGTCAGGGGTGCCATATGGGTCAAACTAGCCAATCTTTGGTGATATTCTGCATGCAGAGTTTAGAAGAGTGGGGGCAAACTTCCAAGGAAAGTATCAGAGAGTGGGTCACTACCCCTCTTTGTTTGGTTTGCATAACCCTGGCTGTCCACAGTCTGAGACTGTCAGGAGACTGTGTAGTACGTGTCTGTTCTCTCCATATCTGTATGTGGGTCCACATTTGGGTCCCATGCTGCTTCAGAATATGAAAAACTACATCAAAATGGGAATCTGAGTAATTATGACATGTCACAGATACAACCTACTGCTTCATATGATACTTAGTGATTAAGTTCAATCCTCCTTCCTTATCCCTAGAAAAGGGGTACTGGGTATTAGGTATAGGGATGTGATACCTTAACTATAACTTGTTTCAGGGTAGGGATTACATCTTATTCATTTCTGTATCTTCCCCAATGACAAGTAGAGTGCTTTTCACATAGTAAGCATTTAATAATGTTTGTAAAATTGAATTGAGCACTCCTGGTCATTTAGAGTCATGGGCAATGATTGATTTGAGCAACACCTAGAAACAAACATTAAAAATAATATGCCACTGACCAGAATCTGCTCACCTCTCCAGTGCTAGAGAATTGTTCCTTTGGGTGGAAAGATGTTTGTGAAATCACTGATGGGGATAAGCTTGGGGATGACCACTGGGATGGGAACATGGAGAGAGGTGGAGAGAGGATTGGTGACTCTTCCAAAGTATGTTCAAAGTTGATAGATTCTTTTATGGTGTTGTTTTCAGTGCTTGAGTTTTTATTTCTGTTGTTGTTTGTTGTAAGTGGAAACTCTACACTGTTGGTGACTGAAGTTTCAGATGTCTCCACCACAGAAATGATAGAATCAGAGCCATCCTTTCTTTTGCAGCGACATATATTAATCCTGTCTGGTTGGGAATTACCAGAACATTCAGGGCATTTTAGGTTTTTTCTGCCAAAGCTACCATCAGCCATATTTTAAAGTTTTTCAGTCACATGCAGAGGAGATGAAGAGACAGTGTTTCTACTGTTTGACGCAGTAACAAATGGCAGGAAAAGCAAGAAGTGAGTTCCTTCAAATAAACTACCTTCTGATTGGTACAATCTTGTAAGTTAATGAAACACTAAACAGCCATTGGCACACTAGATCTGCAAAAACAAAAGAAATGAAAGTTGTCAGCTTCTATCTGGCTAGAAACCAGAGTATGGACAAAGTCACTGCTAGGAGTACTAGTCAGAGTCTGAACACCCATGGTCTAGCTGAGTGACCTCAGGCCAATCCATTAGCCATCCTGGGCTCAGTTTCTTTACTATAAGCTGAAGGGATTAGGTTGGGTTATCTTTAAAATCTTTTCTAGTTCTACAGGTTTTTGATTATATAATAATATTCCTAGATGTAAGAGGTTAGGTCTTAGAACAAAACCATTGAGAATGTTAATTTCTAAAAACTGGCCCCTTTACAGAAATACATCCTCATTGAATGGATCATTATCTCCTATAATTGCACAGGGCTGCTTGAACAGTGGATGGACATTTGCCTTGCACTCCAATCAGAAGAGTCACCCTCTGTCTGACCATGATTGTGAAAATGCCAAATAGCATAATTGAAAAAACATATATGACACATAAGTATGTGCTTTGATATCCTTATTAAAGCAACAGCTTTATTCATTCACCTCTATTTACAGTAGAGCTGCAACATTTTCAAGGGAATTATCTTATTCTACAAGTCTATGCGATGAAAGTGTAAATAAACTCTCATCTTCATATTCCCTATAAGAAGAATAAAGATTATTGGATCCTCTCCTTTTCCATTCATCTTGGGACGGTGCGATCTATGGTTACTAAGGAAAGGGCACTGGACTTGGAGTCAAAAGAATAAGATTTAAGTTCCAACTTTGCCACTTTTCAGCTTTGTGACCTTGGGAAGGCCGCTATTCAAATGTTCACAGACTCTCAGAATTGGAAGAGGTCACCTAGCCAAACAGGTACCTGAGTATGGAATCCCTCCACAATATTCCATCCTCTGCTTGAAAAACCTGAGTGATAGGGAGCTATATCTCCCAAGAAAGCTAATTTGGAAAACTTTAATTGTTGAAACCTGGCTCTCTATAATTTCTACCAATTAGCACTAGTTTCACTTTCTGTGGACAACCAAAAAAGGGATAGTCCCTCTTTCATGTGATAGCCTTTTAGATATTTGAAATAAGTTATCACATCCACTTTTCTGCTCTATCAATCTCTTCTTACCCAGGTCATCCCAGCACCTCTAAACAATCTTCACAGAGAATAAGATTTTGAGCTCAGAGATCTGGGAGATCATTTAATCTAACTTTCTCACTTTACTGGTGAGGGAGCTGTCATCTCGCAAAGTTAAGTGACTTGTCCAAGGTCACACAGCTAAGAGGTAAAAGTACAGGCTTAAAATCTAGGTCTTTCTGACTCCAAACCTATTACCCTTTTCGGTATACCTTACTTGGAACTGAGAGGCACTGTATTTGATTTGAAGTTAAAAGAACTGAATTTGAATTTGAGTTCAGATACCTGTTACCTATGAGTTCAGATACCTGATCATGTAATTTCACTTCCTTGAGCCTCAGCATTTTCATGGAAAATGGAGATAATGCTTCTATTACCTGCCTCATAGAGTCTGTGTTGAGGAATGCACTTCTTAATCAAAAACTACTACAGAAAACGAAGTAGTTGTTACTATCATCATCATCCCTATTATCTCATTCTCATCTTTTTGATCAATTCAGCTTAGAAACTGAGGACAAATCACTATCCTAATATTATTCTATTATTATTTAATGCTCTATAAACTATTGCACAAGTGCATAAAATGACTGCTTTTCATAATTGAATAGGAGTATTGGGCTGTGAGCTCATCTTCTGTAGATTCCTTGAAATCATCTTTGAGACAACCCCAGTACCAGACAAGATGACAGGATGCAATGTTCCTGGTTTTCATCCCACATGGTTTTAATTTCTTCTGCATAAGGTCTACATTTTGAAAACTTACTTTCCATGTATTCTGAAGATTTAGTATTTGGTAATGGTGACATCTATGAAAGATGATACACTTCATTCTTTATGGATCAATGTTATGTCCAGGTGGCTGTGGGCAACAGCTGTATCATTATCATCAAGTATTTTTATAGTGCTTTAGAGTTTGCAAAGCACTTTACAAATAGTATCCAATTTGATCCTCACAACATACCTGGGAGGAGGGTACTATTATTACCCCCATTTTTACAGATGAGGAAACTGAATCAAATAGAAGTTAAGTGATTTGCACAGAGTCACAGAGCTAGTCAGTGTCTGAGGTAGGATCTGAACTCAAGTTTTCTTGACTCCAAGTCCAATGCTCTATCCACCGTGGCACCTAACGGCTATCATCACCACCACCACCAACATCATCACCACCACCACCATCACCACCACCACCACCATCATCACCACCACCACCACCATCATCATCCTTTACAGGAGTGGAAGGAGAAAGAAAATCTTTTTGGACTTTTCTATATTATCAGTCAATCAAAAAAGTATTTATTAAGCAGTACCATGGGCCATGAACTGGTGAGAGAAAAACAAAGACTGGAACTACCACTACTGGCAAGGAGCTTATGTTGTCAGGGGAGACAACATGCACCTAAACAAATACAACTACTTATGTTAGAAACGTCACAAAGTTTAGGAGTAAATGGACCTTTCTTTAATATGGTAAATAATATCTGCATAAAAACAAGAACCAGTATCATCTGTAATTGAAAAATAATATTGGTCCTTTGCAATTAAATTAGGGATAAATCAAGGATGTCCATTGTTACCATTATTATTTTACATAATTCTAAAAATTCTTCCAAAAGTAACAAGACAATAAAAAGAAATTGAACAAAATAGCATAGGCAAAGAAAAACAAAATTATCACTTTTATGGATTATATGATGGTTTACTTAGAGATATCTAGAGATTCACCTTTATAAAAACTGACTGTGTACTACTTGGGATAAAAGTATCACAAACAAATGCAAAAAGGTAGAAATATTAAACATTGTTTATTGACCAAAATGAAACAAAATTATAATACATAACAAATTATAAGGATGACGACTAGACCCATGATTTTTTTGGTATGGGGAACTCCAAGATGAGGAAAGTCCTTCTACCTATGCAGCTCAGTACCTTTTGGCAACTTATAGTCTCAGAGGGCTATCTATGGTGTAGAAAGATTAGGTGACTTTTTCGGGATCATATAGCCAGTATATGTTTCAAAGTCAGAACTTGAACCCATCTTTTCCTGACTCCAAAGTTAGCTCTATATTGATGATCGTGAGACTTCTCAATATATAATATACAAAATTAATCCAACCAAGTAATAATTTCAGTAAAGTAGAAGGATATAAAAAACTCCATAAACATCAGACTTTTAATATATTGCCACAAATACAGTAGGAAGGGATACAAAAAGAACTAGTATTCAAAATAACTAGAGAATATACAAAATATCTGTCAGTTCATCTACCAAGACCTATGTCTATGACTACGAAACACTTTTTACAACCGTAAATGATTAATAAGATAATAATGGCTCCTGATTGAGTTACGATAATAAAATAAAAATGACAATACTATTTCAATTAATTTGTAGATTCTGTCATGTAATTTAAACTACCAAAAGGTTACTTTGTTGAATTATGCAAAAAAAATAGCAAAATTCATCTGAAGAAATAAAATATAAATAATCTCAAAGGACGAATAAAAATTAAAAGGTGGGGGAGGAAGGAGACCCATAGAAGTACCAGATCTTCAACTATATTACAAAAGAGTAACCATCGCAAGTATTTACTACCGGACAAAAAAGAGAAAAGCTGACCATTGGGCCAATTAGGTAATAAAATTCCAGAAGAAATAAAACATAGTAGCATAGTCTATAATAAATCCAAAGATATCAACTACTGGAGTAAAGACTCACCCCTTGTTAGACAAAAACTACTGGGAAAATTGGAAATCAGACTAGCAGGAATCAGATTTAGACCACTATCTCACATGACATACCACAGTATGCTCAGAATGGATATAGTTGGCATCCTTCATTCTTGAAGAGGACCAAAATGACATCACTATGTTGGAGTCAAGCTGCAGTATGTCTGACTGTGACTGATCAGACCACTATAAGCTTGGAATGCTTTACCACAGGTTGAGCACAAATAGTCCATATGAACATTTGGGGTGGAGATGTCTCTACATTTCCACATCTCAGGTTTCTTTTGAGCTACTGCAATTCTGCTTTGCTCATACAGCACAGTGCCTTCTTTGATGCAGGAATGCCATTCTGGGCTGGGCGGTCCTTTGCCAGTATCTCCCATGACATGCAATCAATTCCATAGTTCTTCAGAGAGACCTTGAGAGTGTCCTTGTATCTTCTTTTTTTTTCCAGCTTTGGTACTCACACCTCTTTTTTAAAATGTATTTATTTTTTATTTTATTTTTAATTAATTAATTTATTTAATTTTCAACATTCACTTCCACAGGATTTTGAGTTCCAAATTTTCTCCCCATTTCTCCCCTCTGGCCTCCCCAAGAGGCATGCATTCTAAATACCTCTTCCCCTAATCTGCCCTCCCTTTTATCACCACCCCCTTCTCTTATCCCCTTCCCCTTCTATTTTCCTGTAGGGCAGGATAGATTTCTATACCCCTTTGCCTGTATATCTTATTTCTCAATTGCATGTAAAAACAATTTTTAACATTCGTTTTTAAAACTTGTTCCAAATTCTCTCCCTTCCTCCCTCCTCACCCACACTCATTGAGAAGGCAAGCAATTCCATACAGGTCATACATGTGTAGTCATGCAAAACACTTCCATAATAGTCATGTTGTGAAAGACTAACTATTTCCCTCCATCCTATCCTGCCCCGTTTATTCTATTCCCTTCTCTGATCCTGTCCCTCCTCAAAAGTGTTTGCTTCTGATTACCCCCTCCCCAAATCTGCCCTCCCCTTCTGTCATCCCCCCTCTCTTATCCCCTTCCCCCCTATTTTCCTGTAGGGCAAGATAGATTTCCATACCCAATCGAGTTTGTATGTTATTCCCTCCTTAAGTCAAATCTGATGAGAGTAAGATTCACTCATTCTCTTTCACCTC